GATTCTGTTTGACTAAGAGAAGTTTCCTGAGTCGTACATCTACCCTGTTTGATCCACTTGGTTTCATATCTCCTTACACCATAAGAGCTCGCATAATCTTACAAGAAATGTGGACATCTGGAATGGCATGGGACGAAAGCCTACCTGAAAAGTTGTCTCAAAGTGCTATCACATGGTTTGAAGAACTTACTGATCTCTCTGAAGTCAAAGTACCTAGATCACTCAAGAGGCCTGGTATTGTTAACAATTCACAACTTCATGTGTTCACTGATGCATCCCAAGAAGCATATGGGGCAGTTGCCTACTTGAGACATTGTTATGAATCTGGAGAAGTATCTGTTCGCTTTGTGATGTCAAAGGCAAAGGTGACCCCTCTTCATTCAATAAGCATACCAAGATTAGAATTAATGGCAGCTGTAGTTGGTTTACAAATAGCAGAGAAAGCTGTAAGCATTTGTGGACTAGCGATCAACCAGGTAACATTTTGGTCTGACAGTCATGATGTTCTCTACTGGGTTCGTGGAAAATCACGTCAATTCAAACCATTTGTTGCAAATAGAGTTGGGGAAATCCAATCCAAGACCGATCCAGCGCAATGGCGTTATGTTCCAACAAAGATCAATCCTGCAGACAAGTTAAGCCGAGGTTTACCTGCAAGGACACTAGTTAGCGACAGCATCTGGTGGGAAGGGCCAGAATTTCTTAAGCAGTCCGTTGAAGAGTGGCCAGTTATGAATCTCCAGCTATCCCAATCACTAAACTCAACAGCAGAAACCAAAAGGCAGTACCTTGATTGCAGTTTTAGTATTCAACRAATAGACGAAGTGGAGAATAATATGTCATTCTTAACACTACTGACGAAAGAAGACCGTCTCAACCCCACTCGATTTTCAAGTTGGACACGAATGGTACGTGTAGCCGCCTATGTCATACGTTTTGTAACCAACTGCCGTTTAAAGTCAAAGATAAGAGTAATTGGAGTTCTAAGCCCACTAGAAATAGCAAAAGCAGAAATATACTACGTCAAGCTAGCGCAACTAGAGAACTTCCCAGCAGAGATTGCTASTTTAAAAGCAGGAAAGAAATTACCTTCTACCTCCAAGTTACTACCTCTTTGTCCAGRTCTTGATGAAGATGGCCTTGCTCGCTGCAATAGTCGCTTACAGTTTGCTGAGTGTCTTTCATGGGAGAGCAGATTTCCAATCATACTACCTCGTAAACATGCTGTCACCTCATTAATCGTTAGAGATGCCCATATTCAGGCTAAACATGGTGGGACAAACCAAGTTCTTGCTCATCTATCATCAAAGTATTGGATTGTTTCGGCTAGAGAAGCAATAAGAGAATGGGAAAGGGAATGTGCCACATGTAAAAGAAGTAAAGCCAAACCAGCAAGTCAGATTATGGCTCCATTATCAGATCTACGCACTCACCAGTCCCTGAGAGCATTCAGTCAAGCTTCAGTTGATTTTGCAGGCCCATTTCTGACGAAGCAAGGTAGAGGGAAAACACGACAGAAACGATATCTTTGTCTTTTCACTTGCCTGTCTTGTAGAGCAGTGCACTTAGAGATGGCTTACAGTATGGACACGGACTCTTTTTTGAATGCATTTTATCGTATGGTATCTCGACGTGGAATTCCAGAAGTCATGGTTTCAGATAATGGGACAAATTTTGTAAGCGGAGATAGAGAACTACAAGAACTTGTAAGGGCCCTTGACAAAGACAAGATTCAAGACTCCACTGCTAACAAGGGAATTAAGTGGCACTTCAATCCCCCTGGCGCTCCACACTTTAATGGTGTCCACGAAGTAATGATCAAAGCAGCTAAGAAAGCGATCAAAGCGATATTAGGAAATGCTGACATAAATGATGAAGAACTTGGAAGTGCCATCGTAGGTGCTGAAGGACTAATAAACTCAAGACCACTCACTTACCA